GAAATTAGTTCTTCAAATAAAAGACACTTCGGCCAGTAAATAAATAAAAAATATTTACCGGCTGAAGTGTCTTTTATTTGAAGAACTATTAATGCCGGCCAAGCAGCCTCTATCTTTACGATAATAAGAAATTGGTACGCACAAATACCCAGATAAAAAGTATATTGATAGAGATTTCTAGAGAAAAAAGTGAAAATTACAATGGTAGTTAGTAAAGTAAAATTAATCTCTCATGTACAAGCGGCATGGTAGAGGAAGTGCAGTTATCACAAGATAAGTGTTAGAAAAAAAATGTGATAGGACGCTGATAGATGAGGAAATTGAACTTATCTAAACTTCTCTAATTTATCGGAGACTGAAAACCTATCTTTGGAATGTTTGATGTCCGTTTCACTTGCGTTTCTTCACTTGGCTGAATCAGGTGTTTGGCAATCTCAGATTTCTCTCGTCAGAGAATATGCAACAAGGATGTCAAAACTCTGAGATTACTTTGTTAGTATCTACTTAGCGACAGTGCAATCTACTTTGTAGACAGACAGTTTCCTGTGGTCTATACCATCATATTTATCAGGTCAGAGAATATGCAACAAGGTTGCCACGGATTCAAAACTCGAGACTGAGATTACTTTGTTAGTATCTACTTAGCGACAGTGCAATCTATTTTGTAGACAGACAGTTTCCTGTGGTCTATACCATCATATTTATCTCTTCAGAGAATATGCAACAAGGTTGCCACGGATTCAAAACTCGAGACTGAGATTACTTTGTTGTACCTGCTTACAGTGCAATCTACTTTGTAGACAGACAGTTTCCTGTGGTCTATTCCATCATATTTATCTCGTCAGAGAATATGCAACAAGGATATCACGAGTTCAAAACTCTAGGCTGTGTGTGAGATTGATTTTTTTTTTTAGTATCTACTTTTAGAGAGCCTGCAATCTACCTTGTAGACAGACAGTTTCCTGTGGTCTACAAACCGATCTTTGATTAGTCCTGTCATGCGACACATCAAGGAGCATCTTCTTATCATCGGCATAGAGATCAAAATATTCTTATTCACATATCCCAAATTACATAACTAACAACAACAGCAAGTATATATAGATAAACACCTCTTTGGAAGATAGTGAAGATTCCATTGGATCCCGCGTGGATCTCATGGAATAAAGTTCTCCTTAGGCTGACGAGAGCCATTAACCCGAAACCACGGTCTCTAGGTGAACG